CTTGTTTTTTCTGCCCTGTGTGGACATCTGTCTATGTGCTCCCTGTGTGGACATCTGTCTATGTGCTGTCTATGAGAAATGAACCCTCACTAGTCATCAAATCTGCTGGCACTTGATCTTGGACTTCCTAGTCTCCAAAACTGTTAGCAATAAATTTCTGTTGTTTATAAATTACTCAGTTTAAGACATTTTGTTACAGCATCCCAAGTGGACTCAGACACTAGTCTCCTTGCTTCCACCCTTGTCCTTCAAGTCTATTCCCCACCCGGTTCCCAGAATGATTCTTACATATGTCCAATCCTATTACCAGTCTGCTCAAAACTTTCCAGTGATTCCCAACTCAGAGCAAAGCCAAAGTATTAGAATGACTTCAAGTTTCCCCATGGCCACCCCTAGGTATCTATATGACTTTCTTCCTCATCTCCTTCTAGTTTTCTTCAAACAACACCTTCACAGTGAACTCACCTAATAATATTTAAAATGGCACCCACTACCCTCGAGCTCTTCATCTCTGATTATTTTTCTCCAGGATCTCCAGTTTTACCATCTAACATTCTACATGTTATCATTTACATGTCTATTACTGAATCCTTTTCTAGAAATAAGCTTTACAGTTCATGCATGTGGAACACTATCTGTCTTGTAGTGGGCACTCAATACCTATTTCTTGAATAACAGTGGGTGAGTGAATGGACTAATATGAAGTACATGACTGATTTATCTATTTTCAAAACTAAAAGAGAAAAGGCAATGGAACTTTTATGAGAAAACAAAAGGGAAATGTTGTTTAGCTAAATAAGTAGACTTAGATAAAAAGAATAAGATCACTCTATGAATAATGTCCAACCAGAACATTAAGTAAAAAGTCAGGTGCATTAAACTACATGCTTTTGGAGTGTTACCTAGGAAACTGGTAATAGTTTTCCTTAAATAAGGGAACTGGGTAGCTAGGGGACAGGGCTGGGCAGGAACTAGCTTTTTGGTGAGCAATCCTTTACACCCTTGAATCTTGTACCATGTGCAAATGTTTGTTCAAAACATGAAATAGAATCATAATAAAAATTAGCATGTGTGAATTACACTAAAAAATTAACAGTCAACTGATTAAAAATGAGACATGCAAATTCTCTTTGACTAGGAAAACCGGATTCTAAGACCCGAGTGTTAAGACCTGTCTGAATACATTACCCAGGAAGGAAGTACCTGGGGGAGAGGCAGTGAGCCACCACAGCTTTGTAAAAACAAGCCTGGTTAGTCTCCGTGGAGCACCAGGTGGTGGAGGAGGACTCTCGACCAAACCAACAACCTTTGATACAGCCATCAGCCATTATCATTCCATCCAAGAGGACAACTGTCCCTTCCATTATCCCACCAACTGTCCCTTCCATTGTCCCACCTCTTAGAGAAGGATTTTCCTGGTAAGCAAGGGCACTTTGGGACAAGAACAGGGTCCTCCTTGTAACCCCCATGTAAGCATGTCAGTCCCAACTGCCTAGGCAAGGCTACCCTGACTTGGAAGCTGTTATGGATTAGATTTCCATTGGTGAGTCATCCCCATTCTCTTCATTTGCCTCAGGGGTTTCCAATAAGTACATTGCTGTCTATGTCAAGTTTTCACTTGCCCACAGAAAAATGAGAAAAACACAGTACAACCACCTTTTTTATACTGGTAATTTGTTGAGTTTCTGGGGTGTGCCAATGCCTTCCATGAAAATCCAAAGCCTTGCTACCAAAGATATTTCCAGGGGTATTAATCTAATGTATGCCCTGTACACCAATTCCTATAGTGATGGAGCCAGCTTCAGGTCATTTATGGACTTTTTCTTCTCATAGTCACTGGCTAGCCATGAATTCTAGGTATTCTGTGTTCTGGGCCAGTTGTTTCTAGAACAAATACATAAATGGGTGGTCATATGGCATTTGAACATCTGCTCAAGATGGTTTAATGTATGTGTGCCCACAGGAGAAAGCCTATGGCCAACTCATCATCCTTTGCCACCTCCCACTACCCCATGCTCACCCCACCCACAAAACAGAGCAACCACTAATATACTTGAATGCAGACAAGACTTATAACTGCATGGATCATTGGGAGGTGGTAGAAACTGTGGAAGGTGAAACCTGATGACAAGAAATGGGTCTCTGGGCATGCCTTTAAAAGATGTATCCTGTCCCCAGCCTCTTCCTCTGTCTCTGTCTCTTGTCCACCATCTCATGAACACTTTGTTTCGGCACATGCTCCCCAAAGTCTTTCTGATTGTTGGACTATGGGAATTTATTGCCCATTCAAATAAGGAAAAGCAATATTCTTATCTATATGGGTCATGGTCTTATTGGAATGCGTTTTGTGAAGCCCACAGGCATGCTACATTTAGGGTTTTCTCTGTGCTCCTAATGGGGGATAATGTTCATATGTTAAGTATGTGAAATAATCACATTTTCTAGTTAATGTATTTGATGCTTTGACATGTTGGGGCTAAACTGACCCTGGACTGCCCCTTCAAGAGGTAGCCAATTCTTAGAGATAATAAAGGACTCCCTTACTAGCTCACCTTTCACCCTAGTTAGTGATGTGGGCCAACCATTCCAGAGCCCACATCACTAACTGCCTTCTTCAGTGTTCCTTGTATTTTGGGTCAGAATATCCACCTGCTCTAATTGGCCCATGGCCAGGTACCAGACGCCTAGGGCCAGCCCTGTGCCACTGAGAATACTAAACTTGCTCAAGTTGACCATTCCAATGTCTGCTCACCTTGCCTTGTCTGTTCCTTCCCACCAAAGCCACACTAAAGGCTCTTGCTACACTCCTCTCCCTTCCTCTGCCTTCTGACCTATCCTGGTGCTTCCCTGAATTTCTCCCATAGCATGGTGGCCCTCCTCTTGGGCTCTGCAAAGATAACAAATTATCTTTTCAGTGGCAGTCACCTCCTGATCTGTTATCCTGGCCTATCCGAAAAATAATAAAATCTACATTTAAAAAAAGATGAGCCTAGGATAGAATGCTGGTCTACAGGTGATACTTGGCACCATGGATAATGGGACAGAAATTTGTTGCAATTAAAAAAAATTATTGGAATGTGATAGAATGCCCTCTTAAGTAAAATCCAAGATTATATTCTATCCCCAGGAGGAGAAACTGGTGAAGGTTAGGACACATTCATTGCTCAGGGCAATGTGGCTTGCCAATGCCCCTGCATGTATTTTTATTAATAAGTGGTATATCCATAAGAACTGCATGTTTATTAATGAGCTCACAGTTCACCCATTTACCAAATGATTTGTGCTGTCTGCTATCCCAGTGAGGGCCCCTTCCTGGACAGCATGCGGATTCTGCAGGAGTCATCTTATGAGACAACCAGCACTTATTTGCAAAAGAGACACAAAGAAGATGATTCCTCAGCCTAGAAATAGCATTTGCAAAGGTTCTTTTCAAATAGGAAGCTTAGGTGACTTAAATTATCCCATTTCCCCAAACTGCTGCTTTAATTGCACACTACTTTTCAAGAGCCTGCCTAATGTAAACAAAGGTAGGAACAGCAGTCATCACACAGATGTAAATATTAAGGGGTGTGTCTGGGCCACTGCTTCCAGTGGTCTCGTCTGCCAGAGAGTAGCACCAAGCAAAGGACAGATGCAAGTTTCTGGAGGAAGGAATAGCAAGAGTATACAATTCAGCCTTGAATCTTAACTTCTCAGGTATTGAGTCTCTCGACTGATGATTTAGAGCAGAGGTGGAGAATTTGTGATTCTTTTATTTGATCAAGTTTCTTGTTACTGTTATATATTTTGATTTTTTACCAATACTAATAGGGATATTTCGCATAAAAAGTAAATTTTTACCTTCTAGGAGATCTGGACACACTGGGCCTACACTGCCAGGAGAAGCAATCAGCTATGGTGAGTATCAACAGCTGCTCCCTTTAGGCAGAGCATGAGCTCTCCACCTGCTACAGTCAACACTAGCCTATACTGCCCTCCCACAGTGATGCGGAGTGCTAGCAACGTATGTCATCACATTTAAAGAAATATGCATCTGTACTTAGAGCTCTTTCCAAAGTTGGTAATGTGGAGAAGGAGCTTGGAAAACCAAAGTTTTCCAGAAACAGATGGAAGCCAGAGAATGTGCACTGGTATTCTGAAGGACAACAAACATCCACACACCTGATCCCTACTTTAGAGACTTTGTTGTGCAGTTGCACTGGCAACAGTGGAGCTTCTTCTGGGAAGGCTGGGAGGAGGCTCAGGGAGTCAAAGTTGGGTCTTAACAGAGAAATTCACTCTGGGCAGGTGAATAAGCCTGTGGGGGGCAGTGGAGGAGGGACAAATGCTGGCACAGTGGCAGGACGACAGGAGAGAAGCACTCTGCGGGACACGGACAGTGAGGACAACCCAAGCATTGAGCATTGAAAGTTGGATTGGAATTCATTGAACATACTGATTGATCCTAACCTTAACTGCTCAGCAAGAAGCTCTATCCCTGTACAGAACTGAATTTGACTCTTTAAAAGGAAAAACGGCAACTGATCAACCCCCGTCAGTTGCCTAACAAAGTATCTGAAAATGAAGATGCATTAAGCTGAACATAGCTGGAAGGCAAAATCCATGGAGATAAGCATATGGACTGTAGTTGGGACACCAAAGAATTTCCTCAAGCTGCCAAAGAAGAAAATGGGGAAGGGAAAATCTCTAAGTAAAAAAAATTCCCCCAACATCCAAGCTGTTAATTTTTTTCAATTTGTACAGATAGCTCCCCAGGTTGAGAACACAACACATTGCCTAAACAACAGTGTGACAAGGAGAGTGCTCAGGACCAAGCCTGAGGGGTCAGCATTAAATTCCCATCCCATCCCTGGGCAGGGGACAAAATGAACCACACCTATCTATACAAGCATCTTAAATAGATCAAAGTAGAGTAATAGATTTTATTTAATTAAAATAGATTAAAAACAGACTGTGTAAAAGAATTAGAATTCTCAATAATTTACTATTATTTACACATTAGCAAATGCTGGTCATTAGTAGACACTGAGGAGATGAGGACCCAGACCCTTCCGTGAGCACAGCCTGAGCTTTGCTTTCCTCCCTGCTCCCTTCCTGTTACACTCATTATAACAACTAGGTCACTGAGTGCACAAAAGGGAACTTTAGACAGGCAGTGGTCATACCCACACAGAAGGCCTGAGACATGCTGGCAACTAGGAAGGGATTCTTTTCCTCCTGAGAAGAAAAGTTAACTCACAGGTCAAAGTTCATATGAGCACTTGATGACCAATACTTCCCCTATCTGTAGCCAGCACTCCTCATTTGTGCTTGACCTTCTGTAAACATCCCTTTGGGTTGATCCAAAGCCTAGTTTCCAGAGATGAAAAGCAAATACAGAAGCCACACATGCTGGTTTCTGGGGACATCCTGGGTCACTAAACGTCCCCTGCCTATGTTGTCCACAACTTGGTTAAAACCTCCCTCTAAATGCTTTGTGCCTTTGACGTGTGAAGGAATGGTGGGGAGTCAGGATGACCAGGGCCACTTGACTAAGAGGAATACTGTCCCCAAGGAGGCAGTGACAGTGAGAGGAGGCAGTGACAGCACTTGGAATGTGTGCCCTGCAGGCACCAAGTGGGACAGTGAGTCCCAGCAAGTGCCAAGATGCAGAGGCAGGCTGGTGGTGTGAAGTGCAGAAAGAGACCCGTCAGGCCACTTGACCTCCCATTGCTGGAGACCTGCCATCAGCCTATAGCCATCAGGAGCCCTGTGGTTCCACTCGCAGGACACCAGGTCTCACCAGGTCTGGATCCCTGGGAGGCCCAGGTCTGAGTGGCAGCTTTGGCCATTGGGGCCATGCAGTAGCTAGCATTAGGACATGCACTCAAGGGCTGAGTTGGCAGAGGCCTGTTGAAGAGGCTCAGTCCAAAATGTCTGTCTCAAAGGGAACCAGGTGATAATAGGACAAATTGGTGACATAAGCTGTGGGGTCATCACCATCCTCCATCTCAGCAGTGAACTCGCCGTTTTCAAACCTGAAATAGAAGACAGAGGTGAGGACCAGTTCATTGACCCCAGCTGAGAGGGAAGAAAGGGCAGAGGAGGCCAGTGGGAGGGTGCTGGGAATCAAGGTTCTGTGGGAGGGGCTAAGGGACCACCCACCCTCGAGGTCCTTCCTAGGCCTGCTGCAGATGCTGGGGAAGAATAATGATTACAAATTAATTTGGTGAAAAGGGTCCAACTCTACAAACTGGCAGAAAGTCTGGATTTCTCTACTTTGGTGACTGCTATCTCCCTTTATTTAGCCAATAGTCAGTTGGGCTTCATTCACTCCTGCATATTGCTTGCTCTTGTTTGGTGCCAGGTACTTGTCAGCTCCCAGACCAGCAGTGGACAAGGCATGCAGATCTGCCCTTAGGGAGGAGGGACAGGAGGCCTGGGGAGGTTCTGGAGGGTGGGTCATTTTAGTGGGATACCTGCATTTGGTCAGTGGGTATTCAGATGCTGAAGGACAAGCACTATTAGAATGCGGGAAGTTTATGTAGGACAAGAGATGCTGAGGAAAGAATGGGTACCTGAAGGTAAAAGGATATAAGTATCCCCTGATAGCTCCCCTGTGACCCAAAACTGTTCCTACTGCCTGTCGAACCAACAGGCCTCCTGAGCCCGACAAAGAGACTCCAAATTTAAAAAAATGTACACAGAGAAAGAAGCAAGTGAAGGACTTCTATGGCTCAAATGTGTCTCCAAAGTTCCTGTGTTGGAAACTTAATCTCCAGTGCAACAATGTTGAGAGGTGAGGTGGGGCCTTTAAGAGGTGCTTAGGCTATGTGAACAGATTAATGTCAGTATCATGGGAATGGGGTTGCTACAAAAGTGAGCTCTCTCTCTCTCTCTCTCTCTCTTTCTCTCTCTCTCGACCTCCCTTCCCCTGTCTCTGTCTCTTGCCCTCTCACCCTCCGCTATGCTATGATGCAGCAAGAAGGCCGTTGCCAGAAGTAGCACCTTGATGTTGGATTTTCCAGACTCCAGAACTGTGAGAGAGTGATTCCTACTCTTTAGAACTGGCCCAGGCTGTGGCATTCAGTAGGCAGCTCATATGACTAGGATAGGGCATTCTCCCCAGGAAGGGAGACAGATGCTTCTCATGCAGTTCCCATCTTCCTAACCTAGACTAAGTGCCAACAAGGTAAGGCAAGGAGGAGACAGGCAAGCAGGGCCCTTGGAGCCCACTACATGTGCTGTGTCCCTGGAATGGCTCCCAGCACTTGAATATACTACTGACCAGCAGACAGCTGTGGGAACCCAATTCCACCTGCAATGCCTGAAGTGAGGAGGAAGTCTGCACACTGATCAGACTATAAAGTCCTAAGACTCTGACATGGACAGGCTGGAATGCAAAGGGCTTCCCCCAACTCTAGCACACGATGGAATCCAGCTGACCTCAAACACTGGGGCTTCCCAACAGGCCTCCTTTAGAGTCTGAGTTGCAAATTAAATGATTCATGGCGGGAAAAAAAAGAGGAGATGACAGTTTTAGAAGTGTTTGAATAGAAAAGGCTATGGAGGTGTAGTTTTCGGTTGGCTCCCCAGCCAACGTGTGGCATATAGAGGTGCACGGAACACCTCTTGTGTCTGTGCCTGGCTGGGGTAGGACAAAGCCCAGCTCCTCCTTCATGCTCCTTCCTGAGGTCCATACCTCAGCACTGCTTAAGGTGCTCCATGAAGAGCTCCAACTGAACACAGAAAGTGTGAACAGTTTGCCAGGCTGCTATTTCTTATGGCCATGTTCATCTTAGGGCATTAAATCTCTCCACCAACCAGCCTGGGACAGGGCCACAGCGACCATTCTGACAGCTGCTCATCCCCTGCTCTGTCCTCCCTGCTGCAGAGGATACCCTGAAGATGGGAGGATGGAGCAGAAGCTGGATGCTGCTGGAAAATGAGCCACAGAGCTAAGGCCTTGTACCCACAGAACTGCCTTGGCCCTGGGGGATCTCCTAGGAATCTGGCAATCCCTTTGGCCCATGGACCAGGACTGGCAGAGGCCCTACTGGTCCCCCAGGGTCATGGTAGAGCAGGGTGTAGCCCAGGAGACTCATGCTACCTGCTGGGGCCCACAGTCTCCTTCAGCCCATTGCTCTGGATGCATGTCTCAGCATGAATGCCCAGCATAATCCTAGTTTTTATCTTTGTCTGCTAGGGCTACCGAGTGAGCAGGGCTGAACCCAAATCTTCCAGACACACACCAGCCCCAGGGGGTTCTTGCAGCCAGCAATGCTTCTTGGGGGGCTCCTCTGCCAGGCAGTTTATGCTTATTATCTACAGAGACCCATCCATGAGTGAGCATGGCGCCCCCTTGAAGACAGAAGAAGCCAGGAAAGGTCAAATCACTTCAAATCACTTTGGATTTGGCCAAAATGCTAAACAAATGCCAAGGTGTGACTTCCCCTCATGCTGTCTGAGGACCCTGTTGCCAAGGTGATTTACCAGGAAGCTGAAAGGCAGAAGCCAAGCATGAAGGCAGCTGTGCCGAGCTTTCTAAAGCACACATTATAGCTAGAAGTTCTACTGTCAGAGCTGGACAGGAATGCAGGGGACAGTGGTGTCTTTGGTTGTCTAGCCCTCAGTAATCATACGCTACTCTCTCCTGCAGAACAGGGCCCACAGCCAGGCTCCATCCCTGGACATTAGTACATGTCACCCTCCCCTGTCGTAGGGGACTAGCCCCTTTGAGCATGGAGGTGCGTGGACCTCCCAGCCCTGGATCTGTGCCTGAAGACAGTGTCACATACCTCAGAGAAACACAAACTGAACCCTGGAACCCTGCAGCTTCTCCTAAATACTCCTCATAGCTACCAACAAGGTCTCCTCACAGGTCAATTAATCAAGGTCTTACCAGACTCAGGAAAAGGCAACCCAGAGCCTGCTGCTGGATGCCTCTGGCTACATCCACTTCCTCCCAACAAGCCTTGAATAGGCAGTGAGCCCCATTCCCTGGCACAGACTGCCAGCTCCAGGAACCCTTCTACAAAGCTATATTGAAATAAATGTACTTACAAGTGCTCTGTCGGATCCACACCCAGGTGTTGTTCTTTCCCATTTGGTATACTGTGGTCAATAACTATCGTTTCTGTGTTTGCTAAACAAAATCCATTGGACCTCATGATTTCTGAAAACCAAGCAATAATGTAAGTATTCAGCAGGGGTCAGAGTCCAAGGTTAAGTTTGAGTTTACACCAATTTCTCCACTTCCTCTCTACCTATTGCTGCTGGTCTCTCCCACACTGCACCCCAGAGACTCATTACAGTGCTCTATCAAGCAAATTAAGGGGCTGACCCCCACCCCTATAGGAGCAGGTATGTTTCTCCCTGAAGAAAGATGCTTTGGCTAGCTGAACACTCCCCTACACACCCTTTCCCATGGGTTTAAAGCAGGGTCCAGTAGACAGAAAGAGGACTGTAAGCCCAGGCTTGAGACCAGATCTGTCACACAGTGACATGCAACACCACACAGGTTTCTGAGCCTTTCTCAGCTCTGGCCTATGGCTAATACAGGCTGACAACATCTACCACCTCCCTGGGTTGTCAGGGCATCAAGTGAGATCTTTGTGTGTGGGGGGGATAGGGTTTGAACTCAGGGCCTCATGTTTGCTAGGCAGGTGCTCTACCACTTGAACCATCCTCCAGCCTGTTTTTGCTTTAGTTATTTTTCAGACAGGGTCTCATGGTTTTTTTCCTGGGTCCAGGCTTGAACTGTGATCCTAATACCTACAGCCTCTCAAGCAGCTGAGAGATCAGTGTGCATTTTAAAGCAAATGGGAGAGTTTACATTTTTTGCCTTATCACACACACACACACACACACACACACACACAAGCATATCTGTGTGTGTGTGTGACTTCCTGTATCCATGTTGGCTGTTCATTTGTGAGGATGGAAGTCTCTGGTAATCTATGGCTGAAGAGCTGGAATGGAGGATGCACAACCAGAATCAGGCTGGAGACCTGGACACTTGGCTCAGCCTGACAGTGAACTTCTCAGCTTGGGGCTCATTTCCTCCATGGGAAGCTCCAAAACTGTATGAGATAATCTATAAGGATCCCTCTAACTCTAAACTGCATGAGCTCCTGGATTTCATCACCCATGATGCGCTCCAGGAGGCATTTAAGTACAGTAGTCCCCTTTGGATACCAAAGCCTGTGATGCTCACATCCCTGACATAAAATGGTGTGGCATTTACCTGGAACCTATGCACACCCTCCCATATACTTTCAGTCATCTCTAGGTGACTTGTAATACCTGGTATGATGTAAATGCCATGTAAACAGTTGTTACACCTTATCGTTTAGGAACAATGACAAGGGGGAAAAGGCTGCATATGTTCAATACAGATGCAATACATTTTTCCCAATATTTTTTACCTGTGATTGGTTGAATCATTGAATTCAGAAACCACACATACAGATATCTGACTATATGAGAAGTATGGCTTGACTCTCTTCTTTTTTCCTATCTGCTGTAGCTTTTACTTATATTTCCTAAGGGATGGTGTTTCTGTCCCTTCCCACAGTAGATGAACAGATCTGGTGGCCGTTACCAGTTCTCCTCACCTTGGAGTCCTCCCCGCCCTGTGAACTTGGCTCACCTCCACTCTGCAGCTCTTAGGCAGCTGATTTGTCCTCTCAAATCAGGCTCTCATTATAAAAGACTCTAGACTTCTGGTACACTCCTAATCCAAGGGGTTGTCATCCTCCCACAGGAAGGTATAGCTTACAACTGCCTTTCCTCTCCCCAGGCCCAAAACACCTATAAGAGCATCACTAACTGCCCACAGAACACTAGAAATCTAAGGCCTTTGTTGTCTGGAGAATTATTTTATTTTTTTCTCACACCTTAGCACAATTTAGATTTATTGTCCAGTATGGATTTGTTTTTTTAATAGCTAAAATTGTCACTTTCTGCTTGCTTTTAATCTTTCTATCTGGTTCTCAGCTCTTTGAATTTCTCTCCATATGCAGAAAATTAGAGAAACTACACAGAAAAGTGGAAAGAAAAATAGGTTTCCCCCTTGCCCCCTAGGATCAAAATGACTATTCATCAACCAGATTCACCAAATAATTGCTAAAATTTGTGTCTGGCTTCCTGGACAAGGGTTCTTATGTTTCGTGGGTCTCTTGCAGCACTGTCCCAGTTAATCGCACTCCATAGGACAGCCACTGGTGGCTCATTCCTGTTTCTTCCCTGTTCCATACTGGTGGGGGCTGTGGTCCTGGAAGGGGTCTTCTAACCAAGGAGGAGTCGGTCTGCCAACTTAGGATAAACTACACTTCTAAGTGCACAGAGAGCAAAAAGAAGATGCTTAGCAAAGTCTGCTGAGCCAGTGGACTCTGAAAAGTACTAAACCTTAACAAGATAAGCTTGCTTCCTTCTCCTCTCAAGCTGAAAGGTGTGGCAGCACAGAACCACTTTCTTCATTGTTTTCATTAACCCTGACCCAAATCTGTCTGTCTGATGAAGCACATAAAACCTCAGAGCGGCCTCCATATAGCTAGTTGACAGCCCTCACGCCCCCTTTCTCCCACCCTCTTGCTGAGGGAATTTTGAGGGGGAACCCTAGAAGTTAAAACAGATGTCACTGCACAAATTGTTTCTGAACAAAATCCCGAAGCTACCTTGCATACCTGATCTTTTTTACATGAACTTTGAGTTCTGGAACATGGAATCTTTACCAAGCCCTCCAAAACAGATTTGAAAAACATCATTCTTGAATTGTCTATAACAAAAAGCCTTTGTGCACATAAATGTTGTCTCGTTGTTTGCAAGGTCAACCGGCCCCCCAGGACATTAGGTATGCTGGTGCTTTGGTGACTTGAGGCACAGAGAGACCTTGCTCATACTGTGGGCATTTCACAAAAGATGGTCCCCAGCACACTCTGGTTCCCTCCAGCATCCCACCTCTCTGTGGGCCCCAGGACCTCAAATCAACCTCAGGGTAAACCAGGCAACGCAGCTGGTGGCTTACAACAACCTTCATTTGGAACATATGTTCTAAGCTCTGGTCTGGAAAGGGATGGCATCCTGAAAAGTACATAAAAGGTATCAGACCACAGCAGGACTTAAGACCTAGCAAAACATAATAGCTTTTGTATGCCTGTGCTAGTTGAAAATGTAGCACATGTTCTGTGACAGTTTATATTTTTATTTATTCTGTCACTTTAAAAAATAAGTCTAGGAAGAGTTGTACAAATTAGTGGTTTAAAAAGAGGAAACAGCTTTTAACTCTAGCAAATCTCTAACTGCAGGGGCCATGGGTTTAAATAGATCACTTGGCTAATACCTGGAGTGGTGCCCTTTCTCCTCCATGTACACACAGGACAGCTAATATCCAAATAGAAGTCACCCGCTGGGTTGATTTTCACAGGAGGTGGCCTGGGCCCAGGACTCACACCAGTGACTGAAAGTCTCATTGAGATTCATGGTCATGGAATAAGAGAGACTGACTTGTAACAAGGTCCTTCTGGTGGTCTGTCCTAGCAAGAATTAGCAAATACGGATGTTTTCACAGGGAAGGTTGAGTCCTGAGGAGGCACACAGCACATGGAAAGTAGCAGGCTTTGAACGTGAGTATGGTTGGTTCCACCCCAGTCCTACTACCTAAGTCTATGTTACTTCTTGTTCAGTTTCTTCATCTGTAAAATGGAATGACAGTATCCATCCTCCAGGGCATAGCTGTAGGTTAAATGAGATGATATGTGAAAGACTCCAAATTTGGAAAGACTTCCAAATGCTGGGTGCTCAAATAAGTAGTAATTATTATCATTACTGTTGGTAACATCTTTCTACCTATTGTGACATGTAAATAAAAAAGAGCTGAAGGGAATGTTATGATTAAAGAAAAATGATAGTGCCTAAAGCCCGAATGCAGACAGATATAAAATGTGAATTACTTGGATGTCGATTTAGTGCCCACAGCAACAATCACCAGGCGATTCAATCACTTGTCACATACTTGTCTGATTCCACGAAATAGTTACTCCCCTTCCTTTCTTTTGTGGTACTGGGGATGGAATCCAGGCCTCACACATGCTAAGTAAGCCCTCTACCATTCACTGAGCCACATCCCAGCCCTCAAGCTACCCTTTTATATTCATATTAGCATGTCTTTTAAAAAAAAACTTTTAATTTTGAGCTAATTTTAGAATTACAAGAATGCTGCAGACAGAAGAGTTCTCATACCCCGTGGCAGCTGCTCCTAGTGCTGACATTCCACATAACTACTGTACACTGACCAAGTCCAGGACATTAGCATGGGGACAAGGTCCTCTTCACTGTAGTGTCACCAGTTTTCACACTAATGCCCCCTTTTCTATTCCAGATTCAAGATGGGACCCCTTGCTGTCCTGAGATGCTGAGTCTTGGACTCCTGTTGTCCTCATAGCTCCTCCATCTTCCCTATTCATCACCCTTTGGGAAAAGCACAGTGAGCTACTTCACAGAGCATCCCTCAAGCTGGGTTCCCACATGATGAGATGGAGTGATGCACCTTTAACAGGGATCCCATAGAGCAATGCTGTATTCTCCAAGCAGCACAATTGTGTGTGAGTGTGTGCGCACGTGCACAAAGTCCTTAGGTCCTACTACAGCTAGGACCAGATCCAGATGCTTACATCCAGATGCTAGCCTGGATCACTTAAATAAGGAAGGTTCCACCAGGTGTCCCAAATGTAAGGTTACCCACTTTCACTTCGTAATTAATAGATAATTGGAGGGGGGAATGAGGCCTTGAGACCGCATAAATCCTGTCTCTCCTCCCAGTGTCAATCATCAATCTTAGGGGTGTTTTCTGCAACAACGATCATGTGCATATTGTCCAAACAGTGATTTTTTTCTATTTTGTAACTGCAGCTGAGTTTTCATGCATCCCCCACCGTTACACCTTTACTTCACGAATCCCTCTATTCCTTTATTTTCTGCACACATTTAGTCTCAGCCTTAGAAGCATTCTTAGTTTAGATTTCCTGCCCTGCAAATCTGCTCCAGCATTACATTTACAGTGTACTGCAGCAACAGAACAAAACCTAAAGCAATGGCTTTTTAGTAATTGGATAACTTGACTATCCCTGTAGAATAAAAATTAAGGTTGAGACCGTACAGATGCCAGATTAATGAAAAACAGTATTATATATTATTTCCAGGCCTCAACCCTGACTGGCCAGATTTCATGGCTGAAATTCGTCCAACTACCAGATGAAGGCTAAGATTCGTTCTAGGCTGCATAGCCACAGCCATCAGGCTGAACACTTTAGAGCTATGTTCTCTCAGATTTATAAGCATTTAGATCAACATGGGGCAAAGTATGCTTAGCAATGAGTGGCTGGCTCTACTTGCTGTGGCCCCAGGATATGGACACACTTGTCAGCATGTCATCTGGCACCATCTAGTGGAGCTCTAGCCACTAAGCAGCCTCAACATTTAAAGAGGAATCAGGGCATTCAGAGCTTAAGCCTGTCTAAACCATGATCCCGGTCAGTGCCTTGCCCCACGGCACTGCCTTACCCAAATGCCACATTGGCTGATGAACACATTGAGAAAACAGAGGATGGAAGACGTGGGCTTGGCTGTGAAAGGTGTTTTCCTAAATGCGTCAAATGAACCAGAGTAGCTGTGGATAGGCAGGGTTCACTTAAATAACCTCGCATGAGCACAGTCAGCCAGAGTCCAGCGAGGGAGGCTCAGAGTCTGAAAAGTAGGTGACAAAATCAAAACTCTAACTTGGGCCAGACCAAGACATAACCAAGATGATCAAGGGACCAGGCTTTACCCTGAGGGTGAGATTTTAAGAAAAGTAATGGCCATCAGCAGCTGGTTGGGATGCCTGCCATCAGCTCTCATGGTGAATTTTGGAAAAAAGGAAGGTCATGTGCACTGGTTCCTGGGAGGCCAGCACTCTCAGCCCCCAAGCCTCTGCCTGGAGAACCCCATGTCCAGAAACACTAAGTGTGGGGCCACAACTGATAACCTGACATGCCACAGGGGAGCTATCTTCTTAGGGATGTGGGTTTTTCTGGGAGTAAGAGCTTCACTAGAAAGCACTGTGGGGGCACCATAGTTCACCCACCATCTTAATGCAGCTCCTCGTCCATGAATAACAAGGCACATCTTGCACAGGAGGTGGGACCACCACTCACCACCCAGTCATACATTGGTTCACACTGAGAAGCCCTCACTCACACAGTAAGGGAAGCTGGTCTGAAAGCTAAAATGGGAGGACGAAGGGCTCAAAAGGAGAACCACAGAAGAGGAAGAAACATCCAGAAAGTTTGGGCCACCTCACTCTGGAAGGAATAGCAAGACCTTGCACTGAGACTTCTGGCTGCAGGCCACTTACAAATTCCCTACTTGTTAGAAAGCAGTCTGTGCTAAGCCGAGGTCTGCCACAGTGACCCCCACCCACTGCCTGGTGCTGGTCCCTGCCCAAGCCCCTCCCCATGGGTGCCTGCCAACCTGAGGGGCACATCCTCTTCCTCCCAAGTCCTCTGTCCCATTTCTTCCCAATCCTCTGACCCTCCGGATCTCAGGCCCTTCTCTCTGGATGCAATGGTTTTGCAGTGTCCCTGGAGCAGGGCATGACATCCTGAATAGTTTGGGGTCTCTATCTGAGCAAGAAAGTCAAGACCCCTGCCTTCCAGACCTGGACGCTATGCTCCAGTTATACATGAAGGCTTGAGGAGGTGTGTGAACACCAGTGTGCTAAAACCTGTCCTTAGTCCTTGCAAAAAGTCACAAAGAACACATTTAAAGCCCCCACACAGGGGCTTTTAATTTCATCTCATTACCTTCTGCCTTTCGGGGCAGACATGGCCATGAGTTCATCCACATCACTGATAAAAACAGGAAGGGGGATGTGGGCAAGTCATGTTTGGGTTTTTGCCTTAAGCAGCTACTTCTGCAGAGGCAGCTCCACATAGCTCATCTGTTCCCTCAATTCTGGGGCCTCGGGATCATCCCAAAGCAATGGCCTGGCCCCTCCATGACACAAAGACCATGAGGATTCTACTTCTCTTTACTCTCTCATTTTCCCAAAACAGAGTGAAATAAAGCAAAACACAGGCACTGGGAATGTGATGTGAAGACTCTTCACTATACTCCATGCTATAGAATGCAGAGTCCCACACAGCAGCCAATGGGACCTCCAGAGCCTTCTATGACCCCTGCAGGATGTGGGTTCACAGACATCAAGCAGGATAAACAACCTAGCTACTTCCACTCTGCTCTAAAGATGATTCTGGAGCCAGGCATGAGCTGAGGAGGGGCCTCTGCCCAGCTGGATCTAACACCCAGGAAGCTATCATGAGGAGGCATCAAAAGTGCCAGGCACAGACCAACTCATATGTACCACCCACCCTACCTATAAGCACTTCCCTCATGTAGGTTCCAGAGCCTGCCCAGCCATCCAGTTCACCATGCGCACAACTAGGAATGCCATCCCTGGTGGAAGGCAACAGTACCATCACTCTATCCCTATTAGACTCCTCGCCTTCTGATCCCTTCCCATGCAGAGTCTGGACTCCCTCTTCTCCACTAACGTCCCACAGAGTCCTTTCTGTTCTGCCTTCTCCTCTATTCAGATCCTCTTCTCCTTCGTCATGGGAGAGTTCACCTTAAGCCACATTGGGTCTCCTCTCATAACTGACTTCCCTCTCTTTCCACTGAGCAAATTCTAGCAAGACCTCACTATAGCGGCACCTCTTGGGTCATCACGAAGTGACTGTCCCTTGCCTGGGGAGACCCAGTCTTACAGATAGCAAGGGCACGGCTCTTTTTCCTGCAAAACACTCTTCAACAGCTTTTGCCAAAGTAGCACTGCAAAAATACAAATCTTGTGTTCTCACAAGGCATGCAACCCAGCTCTTAGGACCAAATGGGTCCAGGCAGTCATTCTTTACCATCCAGCCTACAAGTAGGCTAGCTAGCAGCAACTTTCCTCACTTACTGTTGCCCTTTAGGACTAGAGGGCACAGTCCAGCCACTCATCTCTGCTAACAGTACCTACTCTATGTGCTTCCGGTTTTGTCCTGTTGCCCTAAAACGGAGGACTAAATTCAGTGCCACATGACAGAAGGCACCTTACTTTAGCAGCTTGGACTACTGACTCCAGAGGCTCACTTCAAAAATTTCTTGCTAACGTTTTCAGCATTATTACATTACTTTTTAAGTATGTTGCAATTTATATGCTAAATAAATGCCTTTGGAAGTAGGAAGAATATAAATTGAGGGTCAAAAGGAAAAGGGAGAAAAATTCAGGAAACAGTTTCTCACCCACTATTTTCACAATTTTGATAAATTTTCTTCTGGAGCCTAGGCTGTGCCCAGTCACAACCCAACAAATCAAAAAAGATCTCAAGGAACACCACAGCAAGCGACAACAGTACTCCTCCCACCCCAAGTCTTCACTGGACTCGTACCTGATATTTTGACAGGACTTTGGAAGCTGGGTTGAATTTTATGTACATTATCATTTTTTAACACCTGATCGAGAGGAGATCTTTCAAAGAAGGTGAGCACAACTTCTGACCTAGAATACTGAAAAGAAACACAAAAAATTACTCAAAATGAAAAGCTCCTATAAGTTGCCCCATCTGTTTGCCTGGGATACCACTGCGGCACCGGGAGATCTGGTCTGACACTAACACCCAGGAAGCCAGCCCTGTGCTGTTCAGAGGCTCTGATGACCGTCCACACCCTGAGGCTGAGACCAGAGCAGAAGCTCCTTCACTTACTGTCCCCTGTGGCAAAAACACAAGGCCTCAGGGACGGTGTGGTTAACGGAGGCAATGGTCAGTGCTCCTGAGTACTCTGCACGTGCTGGCAGTATACACAGCTCCCTTCTGTACTATAAACTGTAAGGAAAGATAAGCTTAAAGAGCTAAGCAGTTGTGCCTGACTCTCAAGTCCAGGTTCCTAATCAATCCACCATACCCAGTGCACAAAGTTAATTTAAATGGAGCCAAATCCAAGCAATGTCACCTGCCAGTGTTGCTGCTAACCCTCCCTTTGGGTTCCATGTGCCTGCCCTAAAACCTCCTGAGCTATGAAGGTGGGTTGTAAACAGAGATAAGTGATCAAAGACCACTACAGCCAGACAAGACCCCACGTCCCCTCTACTCCACACCTCCTCAGGTCCTTCATTTCTGTTTTGTCCTAGGGGAGAAAAAACAGAACCAGTACAGAACACACAAAATTACTCCTTTTCCCTGGTTACATCTTTCCTGGTACTTCTTGGGGGATAGGGAGGACAAAACTCTAAGTGAGAAACAGCAAGCAGCCAGTTATTGAAGGTGACAGGCCAGCTCCCTACCTCCCTGCCCCGCCTGGAACCCCCACGCTTACTTTCCAGGGCATGCTGATGATCGTCTTGAGCAACTTCTCCACCTCGTTGAGTCTGGTCTCTATGTCATGTGCATCCTTTATGGCAACCAGTCCTAGAACAGAGGCAGAAATGCCCCAGGTCAGAAAAGCAGAGCAGGCATGTGCTCCTAATGAAATATACAACAGACACCTATGACAAGGATGCCACCCTGATACCTCCTTCCACAATGAGATGTTGGGAGCACAGGTATCCCCCATTATGTGAGGGGGGTACATGCTAACCTGAAACGATGGGCCCCACCAATATGGCAGAGACAACTACCACAAATAGCTCAGGAACTACACACCCCAACAACACAGGGAAGGACTCACTCTGCCCAGACCACAAGGCCCATGAAAATGGAGCCATGTTTAGATAAATCATGAGACTGCAGTGTTTAGTTTTGCCAGACAAAACTAAAGTGGGCATGACTCATGGCACTCTCCAGAAACCCGAGCATCTGTGCTCGTTAGTCACCGGAAGCTCTGAATGGCTATTAGACTGTACAGTGTTTATTTTTAAACTACATCCCTCAATGCTACAGCGGGAAGACTTGGGGTGCTTCTCTGTCTCCCCATAAACAATGCAAATGTAAGACTTTCCATTATAGTTTCTATCCATCAGATTTCTAGGGATGGACTAGAAAGTATGACTTTGTAACTTAAGATGTCACCATCTCTGTAAGCTATAATGATACCACAAAGGCCTAAATAGCAGAACTATGATTAGTCTGAAAGTTTTTCACAAGTTCTGGTTTGGTTTTGCTTCACAAATGGAGAAAGAACTGTTCAGTTTTCAGGCAGCTCGTTGCTGGGTCTACAAAAGAGATAATTTCTTAAACTATCTGATTGAAATTAAGAGGCCCTAGTACATACAGCCCTTGGGAACTCTCACCCAGGACTTCCCAGACATAGGGGAAGGGCATTTCTGAAAGCCTGGGTCATGGCTGGGGACTCTTCACACTGGAGCCAAGGCCAGAAACCGGGTCCTCCACTTCCTAAAACAGGTACCAACCTCCACTTCACCTGGCCACCTGGTGCACGGGTGTCCCTGCTTTTCCCTGCCCACCACTCTCAGCCACACAGGCCCATGCAGCCACCCACCCAAGGAACAATAGTCCAGGAGGCAGCAGGATGGACTATGACTCACCCTCTGGAAAAACCTGGGGTTTTGTCTACATCACTCCCCCACATACCCAAGACTCACCCTTGACATCACCAGAAGAAGGGACTGGACCACCCTCTCCCCCTCCTCCATGGCCCCATCCCCACCTTCATGTCAGGCAAAGCAGAGAAAGAAAAATTAAAAATACAAGAGTGTCAGATGCTATGGATGCCTCTGTCCCAAGCCCTCAATTTCTTGCATAGAGCCTCAAATATTTTTTACTACAATTTATATCTATGTACAGTCACATGCCACACAAGGATAGGTCCACAATGTTGCATATATGAATGGTCTCAAAGATGGTATCACCTATCAGTATCATGGCCTCTTAGTTATGAAAGTACAGTGATCCCACAATGACAAAAATCATCTATGACACATTTCTCAAAACATCCTTGTCTAAGCAAAGCACAACTCTGTGTGCCCCTGTGTGTACATGCGTGTGTGCAAGTGCTGCTCTTCACACCAAAATGCTTTGATTCCCCTGCTTGATACAGAGAGGTCTTCAGAGGAAAACAAGAGTCAGTCCAAAATTCTCTAAAAAGCTGTTTTTAAAGAGAAGGCAATTATATAACTCATTCCCACAAAGTACTTCTTTATTCTAAGACAAGCACTGTTATCCTCCAACTTTGATTACAGCTAGAACGCTCGGAGGGTACAATTCATAGAAAGATTATCCTCGTCCATAGTCAATGTACAGCATGTTTATGCCCATGTTATAGGATGTAAAGCATCATTTAATAATTCTAAAATATTATAGAAGTTTACAATCCTTGCATGTTTGTTTTGGTCACATGTTTCTGGTAACATCTTTGCTTTTCTTGGTTTGGTTTACAATGTCCAAGGGCAACACTAAAAACAGTAAATACATCCTACTTTAGATTTATCTTTTAGAGTAGCCAGATTTCACAACTAAAACACAGAATGCCTCGTAACATTTGCATTTTAGATAAATAACAAATAAAATAAATATTAACAACCAACATACTAAAAACATATTGACTGTTTGTCTGATGTTAGAAGGGAGATGCATGTCTGTATTTTGTCTTCTCTGTGACCCATTTTCCATGTTGAAGGACGGAGAGGCAAGAGTGCCTGGTCAGGACTCTGACAGCATCAGCATCTTGGCTGGGACAGCAGACTCCTGTGGACCTGACCTTAGCCCACCTTACCAGCTCTGTGCCCTGTGATTTCCCCATGGCCTCAGGGCAATGCCAAGAGACAACACAATGCCCCCACCATAGCCCAATGCTGCCTCTGGGAGATCCAGGCTCCAGATAGCTGTCTGGGGCAAAGTGGTAAAAAGATTGCCATTCAGATTTGATTTGATTCATGGAAGCTTGTGAGGAAGCTCGTGGCTTCCTTAGGCCAGTTTTCATGTTTCTGAATGGAAGCCAACCTGTGCTCCTTATAAACATGAATACACTTGAAGACAACATGGAGGACACCTTGATGGGGGATGGGAAATGACAGGTGGTGCTTTTGGAAGCGCTAGGCTTTTAGGTAGGAGCGCTTTTATTATTTAACTTCCAATTCTGGCTCCTAGGTGACATAGAGCTGGCAATCAGGATCAGCTTTCCTAAGGGGCAGTCCTCCGTTCTCCAAGGAGTCCTCCCACCAAAATGATAAGACCCCTTCCCCAGGAGAAGCAGAGGTGGAGTCACAATTTGATGGATTCTGCAGAATTTACTGAAACTCAGCAGTCCAGGACTGGGCTAACATTGCTGTGGCTACAACCACGGGGGGAGCACAGCCAGGGGAAAGCAGGGAAGAACCAGCAGGCCTGGCCCTCTTCCCAGGCTGGCTGCCAACCCAACAGGCTGCTGAGGAGTCACCGGCCACGTGGCTTCCCACAGCCTGAAACACCAAAGTTCACACCTGCCCTTCTCTCAGGGGCCTGAACACCTCTCCCCTTCAACCGTTTTAAAAATGTCTTCCACCTAAAGGATGGATGTATTTAATGTGGAAGAAAAATACTAAAAAACAAACAAACAAACTATACTCTGGGGGCCACAGTGCAGAAAATGAAGTAAATGTTCTTTTTGAAATTTCTAATTGTTTCGCACTCCCTGGGGTTCTCAGTTTCACAGTGTCAAACACCTGTAGCCAGTGCCCCCAAATTGTCATGAACTCTCAAAGTGACAGCACTGAAAGGCAGAGTTTTGAGTTCTGAGCAGAATCCTCTTTTGAGACACTGCTTAATTTTCATAGACAGGTAACAAGAATTATGAGTCCAAGAACCGCTGCCCCCAAGCACACCAGCTGTATGCACTTGCATGTGTTTGTACCCACCTGCTGCCCTTAACGGCGAGGGCAGTGTTTACAATTGTCACCTGTTCATCGTATACAGTATTCCAAATACTGTTGATGGCAGGAAGCGTCTGTGAGGCTCTTGTCTAACAGAGTTTCACTTCCTGAGGTCATAAAGATAAATACTGCAGGTGGGTAAGAAGGTTGTGAATTTGCACAGTTAAACATTAAAATGAAATCAACCTTCTTTAGTAGGAGACTATTGTTCCAGAAAGGGCCAGCAGGGGGCAGAAGCACTCTGTAGAAGCTGCAGGATTTGGTTTACTGACTTCCACTTGCCATAGTTGGGGCCCAGAAAGTGTCATAGCCCCTGGAAATTGTCTAATTTCTGATAAAGTATAATCACTAATAATTTTTCATCACACTCAATTTGTGACACAAGAATTTTATCCAGCTTTATCCTAGACAGTTAAGAATCTGACACTGAAAAATTAACATTATTTTATATACATTTCAGTGGGCCAACTGCACATCCCTTTACAGGATAAATATCAGCCTGGAGCAGCCCTTTCTTCCTAAATGACTTTGGCCTTGAAAACTGAGAACACAAACTGAGAACACAAAACTTTGGCAGTCTCAGGATTAGCTGCTTTTTACAAACACAGGTTTACTCCCGGACCCAAAACCAAACAAAGATCTAACCATAGGAACAAACATGAACAAATGTAGTTTCCTAATCTCAGAAACCAGGGTCCAGAGTTCCATGTTTTCAGTAAAACTGAGCTGGGCCCCACACTTCTGACAATTCCCCCAGGCTTCCCTACTTGGGCCTGATGCTAACTAGGTCAACTGAGGGGGAACACATTAAGGAACCTCCACAAAGCACAGGTCTCTCAAGAGGAAGGAAGCTTTCCACAACCACACAATGGATGGCCCTGGGGAAACTTTCTGTCAAGGGAATGTTCAAGTTTGGTCAAACAGCAAACTGCACTGAAATTCTTTCTCAACCATTGAACAAATGTGCCCGTCAACAACTGTGCCACAAGCCAGGGCTTGTGTTAAGTGCTGAATGCAGCCACTCTGTGATGTGCAAGAGCTGTATAATCTGGGGTGGGGTATAGCTTAGCAGTAGAGTGCATGCTTAATAATGGCAAGGCCCTAGGTTCCATCACGGCTTTGACCATGCTAGGCAAGCACTGAGTCACACTCCAGTCCTAGATACATATTCATGAAAGGCTCAGTGTAATAACAATTTTAGAAACAACATATTTTTAATTTTTTAGGAAAAAATTTCAATGCTTACTTCCTACTATCTATTTACTTTTTTTTTTTTTCCTGAACCCAGTATCTTAAGCATGCTAGACAAACACTCTACCACTGAGCTACCATACCCTAGCAGGCAAACAGGTAGTCAATATTCGAGAAGTAGAGATAAGAAATGAGTTGTTCCTTATTCTTCAAAGAACTCAAGGTCTGATGGAAGTTCTAACGTCCTGGAAAATGGCAGCTACTTTTGGCCACATGAGTGGTCATTTGTGGGTGTCCCAGATGTAACTGCAGGGCAAGTGCAGGCTCAGTTGTGCTCACACAGGACAGGACAGTGTTCCCCACACGATCGCACCATGGGGCGAACAAGGGGATGCAGGCTGGGTAGTTCAC